CTCGACGCTCTCACATACCATCCAGAGCTCTCCCACCGTCTCCAATCACTAGTTAGCAGCTCCCGTCCACTAACACTGTCACTGACTGACCAACAAAAATCAGGCACAAAGCGGCGACTTCCCACATCTCCTCGTCTACGGCCCCTCGGGCGCCGGCAAAAAAACCCGAATCGTAGCTACTCTCAAGGAGCTCTACGGACCAGGCGTAGAAAAGATCAAAATCGACTCGCGCGTCTTCCAGACCACCAGCAACCGCAAGCTCGAGTTCAACATTGTCGCATCCGTGTACCACCTCGAAATCACACCCTCCGACGTAGGCAACTACGACAGGGTCGTTGTGCAAGATTTACTAAAGGAGGTCGCGCAGACGCAGCAGGTGGACCAGTCCGCCAAGCAGCGGTTCAAGGTCGTCGTCATCAATGAGGCGGATCAGCTCTCGCGAGATGCGCAGGCGGCGCTGCGTCGAACCATGGAGAAGTACTCGCCCAACCTGCGGCTCATCCTGCTAGCGAATTCAACGGCAAACATCATCGCGCCGATTCGGTCAAGGACACTGCTTGTGAGAGTTGCCGCGCCAACGCACGAGGAGATTTGCAGCGTGTTGGCTGTGTCTGCGAAGAAGGAGGGCTGGGAGGTGGTCAAGGGGTTGCACGAGAGGATCGCCGTGGAGAGTGGGCGGAATTTAAGGAGGGCGTTGCTGATGTACGAGGCTGTCCATGCGCAAAAGTACGTTTTCCTTTTTTTTTTTCTCTTTTTTTTTTTCGTTTCTCCTTTCACAGGTATAGGTTATACCGGTACAGGGGTTGCTGACTGACTGGCGGGGAATAACAGTGAGAAAGTGTCTGAAAATACACCCATACCTCCAGCAGACTGGGAGGCTTTAATTGGCCAAATCGCCAAAGAAATAATGGATGAGCATACGCCGGCGCGAATCCTGCAAGTCCGCGCCAAGTTCTACGACCTGCTGACGCACTGTATCCCGCCTACGACGATTCTCAAAACCCTCACGTTCAAGCTCCTTAAACTTATTGACGACGGTCTCAAGGGCGAGGTAATTCAGTGGTCTGCGTTTTATGAGCATCGTATTAAGACGGGAACAAAGGTGATTTTCCATTTGGAGGCATTTGTAGCCAAGTTTATGCGTATTCTTGAGATGTATCTCATGAGTATGGAGATGTGATATGTAGATTAGCTGGGCGTTTAGGGTTGGTTCAATTGCAATGACGGGTATTGTGTCATGTGCTGGCAGATATTGCCTGTGCGAATTGTGCCCTGTGATGACTGGGCGCAACTGATGGACCACGGCTATACTTGGGCAAACACGCCACTGTGTGTTCTGCACTGATCATTAGCAGAATACAATTGAAGGGGCCGGAGCCAAGTGGTATAATCTATCCAGCTCAAGCCAAGTCCGGCCACGCGGTTGTGGTAATGTGACCTAACCGCTGGAGAGCTTTTAAATTTCCCTCCTCGGTTTTTCGTACCTCTAATGCACCTTCTCAAGCCCCTTTGTGGTAAAAACGATGCACCTATCTGCTTAAGTACCTAAAATACCTACTTGGGTATTACTTAGTAGGCAGGCCGTTCCGTAAACATGCCTACCTAGTAGGTTGTTTCGTATTCGGCGGCTGGAACACGGGGCAGGATGTTTCTCAGTTCTACACACCCAAGCTGCCAAGCTCGAACACGGTCCTAAACAGACACTCTGGCTGTGCGTCTACGTTGTCATGTCTGTCACACGACATATTTCACCGGACCTCTCCGTGCCCAGGACCGATTGAACCCCGACATCCATCCAGGGGAAGGGGGTCGGTCTGACGTTTGTGGAGACCAGCGGACAGCGGAGGACTCGGGAGCCTGTTGAGAGACACTTTGATCCGGGCCAATGGATATCGGAAGATGTTTGGTCAGCGATAGTCGATTCGACAGCGTTGTGCATGTTCTTGTATGATACTGCTGTTTTCGGGTACCAGAAGAACTGTCTTTCCAGAAAGCACCACGCTCTTTCAACATGAACGCACGTGCATCATCTTCCTTGGTTTACGGTTTTCAACCGGCTGGCCACGGCACTTGTACGGAGCATCGCTAAAGGGAGCTGGTTAGTGACTACCCAGCATGCAATTATGCGTTGGTCGGAAAATCTCTAGCTAGTCTACCTAGTGGCGCCGAGCAGGTGACAGCAAGATCAACAGCTCTGAGTGGCACAAAGGAGTGCAAAAAAGGAAGAAGGATGAGTTGTCAGTTCTAGAAGCGGGGATTTCGTTAGGAGACGGTAGGAGGCAAAACGCAACTGGTCAGAACGGGACATCCTGGCACGGCGCCACATAACTTACATACTATAGTACACCTTCGCAACTAGTATCAAGATCGTACGTCTCTTGTACTTGAGTAGGTACTAGAGTTATGTTGGTGCGTGCTTGGGGATAGGCATACAGACCTTGCAGAGGCCGAGTTGATGCGGAGGGGAGAGGCGCGTGAGGTGCTGGGACTAAGACCGCAAAGGCTGATCTCTTCAGTTAGACGCTATTCTGTAATCCAAGACCTTTCAAGGGCGAAGTGTGCGTGGCGGCTGACTTGTCGTTACGCCATCATGATGCATTGCGTCAAGTGCTTATGCTTTGTGAGCAGCTTCACACATGCTGGACATTGATTTCAACTTCCAAGTGCCGACGCAGGCTGGCCATGACGACGTGGACCTGCATGGCGAAATTTAAGTTTTGTTCTGGAATTAAGCTGCAACGACGAGTTCCCAGAGCGCAGAGATAAGATGGGCCAATATTGGCGAACGACAACTTCATACCGTGAGAATATTATACCTCAAATCAGCACTGTGCAGTATCTCCAGACCAACCCAAACCAGGTTGACCTTTTGCCAGTGGATAGGATAGGAAGGCGACAGCCAACAAGAGACCAGATTGTACAATGAGTTGTTTTCCACACGTTGCGAATGGACAATAACCCCTGCGTCTTGCCCACAAGGACGGTTCGGACGGTTCAGGAGGGGGTAAAGTAGCCGTTTTGGCAAAAGACTGCATAGTACTAATAAGACGGGAAGCGAATAAGATGGTTGGATAGGCTGTGATGAGCAGGGTAGTTTTGGATATGCCGGTTGTTACCATCGGCCAGGGGCGTGGTGGAAGATTTTTGATCCTGGCCCCGGGGACCCAGAACCCATGGCATCTCTTCTGTTGACTGCAGACGCATGCTACCACGACGGAAAGAAATTTGCGCAAGTTCAAAATGGAATGGAGCTTTGTCGAATCGATGACTTGCAAGAGGTCCAGGTTCAATACTGGCCGGCTCCTTCCCTTCAATGTCGTCTTGGGAAGCTGGGGCAAAGCTGCCCGGTCGGAAATGGCAAGACCCCGGATCTAATGAGGCCCCGGCAGGACCAAGGGATCGGCTGCACCAGGGATTGCGCAAGTGATATTACAGTATGTACGGATCACTACTGGTATTACATGTTGTATCATGGTAATAATTTACTGCCCGGCGTCCCAATTGTTCCGTACACAGTTACTCCGGCCTTGGTACAACAGACATAAAGGGATGAGATTGAGACGGGGGAGATATTGAGTGTTTAGGTGTTTGGCGCAGCCGCTCGCCCGCCGCCCGACAGATCTGGATCCGACTCGGGCGAAGGCAAGAACAAAGGGCACGGGGGGATGCATCTACCCGTGGTATGAAATAATCCTTACGGAGTACCTGGTGGCCATTGGCGCCATGACGGGGCTGCAGCAGGAGGGCTTGGAGGCTGGAGGTCTCGGGGGAAAGGATGGTATGCTGGAAGGGTTTAGTGGCTCGAGGTTAACGTAGCGTAGCGTTAGTCCAGCTTAGCTTAGCTTAGCCTAGCTCCGTTTCTAAAGTCAAGCAATGTCGACTGAAGCGCTGCTCCTGATCAAGTGCGCGGTGCGTGCCTGCCTGCTGAAGGTGGTGAGAGCACAGTGATGAGCTCCTCTGCATGTACTGCGTAGGTGGCTATTAGTACGTCCTGGTTGCTACCGGTTGTCACTGCCCTGTCAGACCCAGTTTCGAATATCGGATGGAACCAGGACGGTTCAACTGGTCGAATCCCGCGGCCACCAGCAAGCCACAGGCATTTTCTGGATCAAAGGCGACATCTGGACAGCCCTGCACTCCGTCCTCCCTACTCCCCGGCCCTGCAATCAGCATCGTGCGCTCGGCAAGGTGGATGTCGATGTGCAACTCTAGGAGAGAAGATTGGACAGCAATGGCAGGTTATGGAGCAACCTGTCCCAACAGCTCCAGGTTCCAGCTCCAGGTTCGGCTTCCACTCGCCCAGCCGCGGCCGCCAACTACCTAGGTACTTGGGTAACTGGAGTCCTCTTCGAGTGGTCTTCCTCCGCAATCGCAACGCACACAATATCGGACTGCACAAACCTTGGGGAGGTTTGCCATGACCAAGACATGAGCAACAGCGTACTTGGCCGGCTGGAGGAGGGGCAACATAAGTAGGCGGGTTGTGACGGAGTACGGGGGTACATAAGAGATTCCAATCCCCCATGTACACGAACAGTCTACTCCCCCTCCTCCCCTTTGATCCGCTTCGTTTTGCATTCCTCCTATCGCTCAATAATTTTATTTTTAACGGCAAACAGGCATTTCATACAAGTCGTCTACCAGGAGCAGTCGCGAGGCTTGATCACTCGAGTTTGTCGTGGGAGCGCACAGAGCAACAGGCGCAGACCAGCCAACCAAGTTCGTCCAAGTTCACGATCGGCGACGTCGCGTCTCTCTGACGTCGCTTCAACGACAACCAGCCGCCTCTGAGCCCACTCAGCAACTTCAGGCGACAGCCATAGCGAGTCGGCCACTACAAAAACAATCTACCCCGCGCCCACCGCTTCAACTGGCCTGAGTGTTGCAGCTCTTCTGCAGTTGTCTCTCCTAAAAGCTACAAGCTGCAAGGTGACTGGTGACCAGCGTACACTCCAACCAGAGCTGATTCGAATCGCATCCCGTCGCATTCATTCAACACAATGTCTGAGGAGAAGAAAATCCCCAAGGTCGCTGAGGCGCACCTGGTCGACACATTCCGTAAGTGAAGTAACCCAATTCGCGCCAACAAAAAAAAGGTAGAGAGAAGCTCGAGAATCACTAACACGCCTCTTCCTGCAGACCCGCCCGAGAAGATGCTCGCAAGTACGTAATTTGCCCCTCCTTCTGCAACATGTTTTCTCGACCCCACTTCCACACTCGCGCCTTGCGAGTCCCTCCCCCACCGTAGCAGTCGATGGAGCTCATCGTGGGAATCTTGACCTGTGATCACGCTTGCAATGACCATCTGCTAACCTGAATATTTTTTGTTCCTATAGAACACCCCAGCAAACTCCACCTTGCCAGTAAGTTGCAATTCCATTTACCCTTCGGTTTCCTCGGCCCTGAAGCCCTCGGCCCAGGGTTCAAGGAAGCTTCATCACATTGCGCCATTCCCGATTCGGCCCAATTCCGGTCGTCCGTCCATGGAAGATGTCCAAGTTGAATGTGGGCTGACTGCGAGCTTCTGCTTAAATTACAGATATCGAAGAATATCAGAAGCTGTACAAAGAGTCCATCACTAACCCCAATAAATTCTGGGGTGAGCGCGCCAGGGAACTACTCTCATGGTATCGAGACTTTGAAACCGTCTCCAGCGGCACCTTAGCTGACGGTGATGTCAAGTGGTTCCCGGAGGGCCAGCTCAATGCCTCATACAACTTGGTTGATCGCCATGCCTTCAAGGACCCCGATCGCGTCGCCATCATTTACGAGGCCGATGAGCCGCAGGATGGCCGCAATGTCACTTACAGTGAGCTGTTGCGCCAAGTCTCCAAGTGTGCCTGGTCTCTAAAGCAGATGGGTATCCGCAAGGGTGACACCGTTGCCATTTACCTACCCATGATTCCCGAGGCCCTTGTCGCTATTTTGGCCTGTGTGCGTATCGGTGCCGTTCACTCCGTTGTCTTTGCCGGGTTCTCTGCCGACTCCCTGCGAGACCGTGTCCTTGACGCTCGCTCACGTGTTGTCATCACTACTGACGAGGGCAAGCGTGGTGGCAAGCTCATTGGCACCAAGAAGATCGTCGACGATGCTCTCAAGCAGTGCCCCGATGTCACCAACGTTCTCGTTTTCAAGCGCACTGGCGCTGACGTGCCCATGCAGGCCGGCCGTGATGTCTGGTGGCACGAGGAGCTTGAGAAGTGGCCCAGTTACATTGCCCCCGAGGTCATGAATTCTGAGGATCCTCTTTTCCTTCTGTACACCTCTGGCTCTACTGGCAAGCCCAAGGGTGTGCTGCACACCACTGCTGGTTACCTGCTGGGGGCCGCCATGACCGGCAAGTACGTCTTTGACATCCACGATGGTGACCGTTACTTCTGTGGTGGTGACGTTGGTTGGATCACTGGCCACACCTATGTCGTCTACGCCCCTTTGCTGCTCGGTGTCTCTACCGTGGTGTTCGAAGGCACCCCTGCCTACCCCAACTTCTCACGATACTGGGATATTATTGAGAAGCACAAGGTCACTCAGTTCTACGTGGCCCCCACGGCACTGCGTCTGCTGAAGCGCGCTGGCGACGAGCACGTCAAGGGTGACATCAAGCATCTGCGTGCTTTGGGTTCCGTTGGTGAGCCCATTGCTGCTGAGGTGTGGAAATGGTACTTTGAGGTCGTCGGCAGGGAGGAGGCCCACGTTGTTGACGTACGTGATGATCTCGGTCACGTCGATACTCACTGGATAAAGGTATACTAACATCCTTACAGACATACTGGCAGACTGAGACCGGTTCCCACGTCATCACTCCACTTGCCGGCATCACCCCTACCAAACCCGGTAGCGCTTCGTTCCCCTTTTTTGGTATTGAGCCCGTCATCATCGACCCCGTCTCCGGCGAAGAGATTCACGGCAACGATGTTGAAGGCGTGCTTGCGTTTAAGCAGCCGTGGCCTAGCATGGCCCGTACTGTCTACGGCGCCCACAAGCGCTACATGGACACTTACCTGAACGTCTACAAGGGCTATTACGTACGTCTTGCTTGCATCGCACCTTTATGAAATACACCCTCCTAACGTTTTCGCAGTTCACTGGTGACGGTGCTGGTCGTGACCACGAAGGTTTCTACTGGATCCGCGGCCGGGTCGATGACGTTGTCAACGTTTCTGGCCACCGTCTCTCCACGGCCGAGATCGAGGCTGCCCTCATCGAGCACCACGCTGTTGCCGAAGCCGCCGTCGTGGGTGTTGCCGATGAACTCACTGGCCAGGCTGTCAATGCCTTTGTGGCAGTCAAGGACGTTGACATGGTCAATGATGCGCTCCGCAAGGAATTCATCATGCAGGTTCGCAAGAGCATTGGTCCGTTTGCCGCACCCAAGGCCATCCATGTCGTTCCTGATCTGCCCAAGACCCGAAGTGGCAAGATTATGAGAAGAATATTGAGAAAGATCCTTGCCGGCGAGGAGGATCAGCTTGGTGACATCACAACCGTACGTCGTATTCTCCCACCTCGTGTCCCATGGCAAACAATTGTTGGACCATGACTAACCTAACTCTCAGTTGTCCGATCCCTCTATTGTGGAAAGAATCATCAAGATAGTTCACGAAGCCAAGGCCAAATAAACAAAAAGAGAGGGGGAAAACAAATAAAGCTATACAAGAAACGAAAATATTGATGGGCTGATGTTGTAGCTGATACCACTAGTGTGGACGGCGCCAACTTGGCAATGGAGATGGCCGGATAAGATCTTGGTTGCTTGAAAGGTCTAATGCTGTTAAAGCTCTGTACTGTATTGTTTGCTTTGCATGCATTTGCCATGTTTTTGAGGGGACATATCAGCCTCATATTGACTAGTTATGTCAAACGCCGCGAGAAAGATCCGGCCTTTTTTTTTTCTTTTTGGAAAGGTATAGCTTTGGAATAGAGTTTATGTCAGCTGCAGATCTAGCAACGGAGTTTCACGTCGCAGACTCCGTTCCATCATCTGCGACAAACAAGCGACAAACAAGACGGGATTCCCTTGTCTTTAGCAGAAGCTAGAACCGCTAGAACAAAGATGTTTGGAGAATCTATCTCAGATGCCGGTGCAACTTGGGTAATTGCCTGTGAAATGTGCATAGCCATTACGGAAGATGACAAGGCGTACTGCATATGTTTATCTTTGTTGCGTACAAAGGAGTTTTGTATTCTAGAGTATGTTGAAGGTCTTTATTCAGCACGGAGTCATACGCTCCAGGCGCCAGCCGTCGAAAAGATACATTACACTGCTCACGAATGAATGCCCATCAGAGATATCTGCGAAGACTCGGTGGAGTTACTCATGTTTGAACATGGTTCCAGTTTCCGGCCGACACCAAGACAGCCAGAGTAGGGAGCTGGCGAGTGGACGGTTTGGGCAGTGCGGGCGGTTCCTTTCCGAACAGCTTGAGATATCACGACTTTTGACAGAGGTGGGTTGCTCAAAGCCAGGTCGTCTACAGCAAGTACACTGTTTTGCAAAAAAATCACCCATGGAGTGTCAAATGTCAGGGGACCAATAAAATAAGTCGAGTTGGTCGTTGTGGCCGGAATACCGCGAGATGCGGCTCAGATTAGAACGGCCTAGGCTTGACGGCTAGTGATCAAACAGCCAAAACAGCTGAAACCAAACTGGATTTATCCCTCTCCTCCGTACGAGGCTTGAGAACGGGACCCTGTACTTACTTGTGCGGCAGTTTTATGAGACGCTGCCGGCTTCAATCGTCATCTTGGGGGCGGCTGGGCAAGGAGGTGTCGCAATTCACCTGACTGACTGAGCGCTTCGCCGGGCTATGCTGAAGAAGAGATAGGCTTGGGTTTGGCTGTGTGACGGTATATGTATAGGGCAGGACTGGTATTTACGCGCGTACGGCCCGAGTAATTGACGGGCCTTGACAGTGTCCTCATGGATATTGTTGTGTGTGTGCACGTGAAGGTGATGCCGGCATGAATATGGAGTACTCCGTAATACTACAACGGTGCTTTACGCAATGCACCGGCCACATTTGCAAATGACAACTACGCTTACGGAGTATATAGAGAAAAAGTCAAGGACAGCTTTTCAGCTCCTCGCTTTCCACGATAATGTAGTTTTTTGAGTCGCCAAGCGATGGACAGGCCAGTCACAGACTTTCATTAGCGCCATCTAGGCGCCGATCCGGGATAGCTGCAACGGGTAGGGAGTAGCCCGTCCTGATACACCGAGACCCTGGCGTTCCGACGACGCCGGGAACAAAAGGTGATGAAACCAACTGCTGACATGAGCCACTGCAGATATGTGTTTTATTCCGTCCGTGTCACAGGCGGCGAGGCACCCCGGGCCAAGCCTCGCCAGAATCGTATTTGAGCGAGCAAGTATCGAACCCCGGTCCCAGAAGGAGTCGAGTCGGTTGGGTGCAGACCGACATTGGCTCGGGTAGTTGATGTCCCCGATTGGGCGCGTGACGAGGGTCTGTAGCGTTTGAAGCAGAAGTCAGTATGAGATGCTCGGTACTGCGGAGTATGTGTCAAATCAACAACAAGACAGAGCAAGGGAACTTGTTAATGCGGGCAAACGGAGGATGACATCTCATGCACGCAGGAAGAGATGGTTGGTAATGGTCTTCTTGTTTCCCTGCACTGTCACCGAGTTGCGGGAAAGTCCTCATGCCCAGTCAGGAACAGCCCGAGGCGCACCTGCCGCGTGGATTGTGGCGATGCCCTCCAGCACCAGACCACTAGACATCTGGAGTGTCCAAGTTGCCAAGTCTCCAGGTCTCCGGGGCTCCATAATGTCGGCGGGCTCTAGGTCTCAATACGACTCCGTATCTACCTAGGTAGGTACATAGTCATACTCGTGCCAGGCGGAATACGGAGTAGGCATCCCACGAACTTGGGTTCATCCGTGCCCTATGCCCCTTCTCCACTCGTTGTCGCCCGGCCAAGCACCCAAGCACCCAAGCAACCCTCCCTCGACTTGGGGACGGGACCTTGGCTGAAGCAACAACAATAGCGTGGCAGCGTCGTCACGGCCAATCACTCCTATTCGACTGTCACTGCCACTGCCACCCTCGGCGATGCCACGGGCACACACATGGGTCCAGTCTGGTTCGCTCCAGATTGATTGATGTCAAATCAATCGTTGTATCCGCCCCAACCTGCCGCCGAACCACGCAGCCAGTCCACTCACTCTATAGATTCCTGATTCTTCCCTGCCTTTTCAGATCACACACACACTCTCAGTCATGCAGTAATCTCCTTCGAGAGTCTTTTGTTTGCTCAACTCGTCGTCCGTTTTGCCATCCGTCAGAAACCCCCTCGTTGTCACGCCGAGCCGACTAGCCTTGCATTCTTCGTGGCCGAGTCCATTTGTGTATACAGCAACACACAACCATCCGATTAGACTCAAGCCACAGCAGTGTCACTCAATCCATTGGAATCCCGACCCGGCGTCTCCATTGTCGATACGGCATTCCCACGCTGCCAGAACCTCGGACATTCGTACACCATCGTCGATGAATTGGATGCGGTAAATTCTGTGCCATCCGCTCATACTCCGAGCGACGTTTCCCCTCCGTTGCGCCGTCCTCTGGCGCAGTCTACCATGGTTTCGCTGCAGTTTCTCGTGGCGGCCGTTGCAAGCGTGGCCTTGCTGGCTCATTCATCGCTGGGTAAGCAATCGTCTTTTGCATTCTTGCCAAGGACTTGTCCGATGGTCGTGGCTCTTGTCCCGCGGCAAGCGACGTTACTAACCTGTTCACTCAACATGCAGCACACTCTGTAAAGCGAAATCCCGTCAGCCGCATTTCATTAGTACAGGAACCCGTCATCAAGACGCCTTCGCATCGCGTGCACGCATTTTCTAAATTCGATGTCACCTTTACATTACAACATGGCCAGCAGAAGATTCGCCTGGCCCTCGAACCCAATCACGATGTCCTCCACGAAGACTTCTCTGTCACGCATCTCAACGATGACGGATCAGTCCGGGAAATAGTAAAAGTCCCCCGTTCGGAGGACAAGGTATACCGCGGAGACGCATTCATTGAGCGCCCCGGCATACAAGGATGGTCCAAGGCTGGCTGGGCACGAGTGACGGTTCATCAGGATGGAGAAAAGCCCGTCTTTCTTGGCGCCTTTCGTATTGACGGCGACAATCACCACATTCTCCCGCGGTCCGACTACCAGTCAATGAAGGACGAAAGGGATCCTGCTGTTGACTCCTCCGCCGCCGACGACGTAATGGTTGTGTGGCGCGACTCCGATGTCATGGACTACCATGACGGACATGGCGAGCTGAAGCGCGATCTTGCCCACTCGTCCAAATGCAACACTGACACCCTGGAGTTTAACGCCAAGTTTTGGCAAGATGTGGACGAAACCGGCAATTCCCTTAAATCTATGAGCCTCCCATCTCTCTTTGGTCGGCAAATTGATAGTGGCGGTGGCGGTACGGGCCTCAACTTGCTCGATTCCATCGGAAGTTCGGCCGGCTGTCCAACTACGAAGAAGGTGGCTCTGGTGGGTATTGCTACTGACTGCAACTACTATTCGGCATTCAACGACACAAAGGTTATCAAGAGACGGATCATCAGTAACGTAAACTCAGCCTCTGAGCTGTACGAGAGCACCTTCAAGATCTCACTGGCTATCAAAAACCTGACCATCTTCGACCGACCATGCACCGGTACTACGCCCGCCAACACGCAGTGGAACGTTAAATGCAGCGGCGGTGTATCTATCAACGATCGCTTAAACACGTTTTCCAAGTGGCGTGGTGAATCCAAAGATGAGAATGCCTACTGGACCCTCTTCACAACCTGTGCCACGGACACGGCCGTTGGCCTGGCCTGGCGAGGCATGCTCTGCCGGACCGGCGCCAGCGATCAGGGCAGCAGCGCTCAGAACGAGACGGTTGCGGCCACCAATGTCGTTGTCAAGTCGGATACTGAGTGGCAGATTTTTGCCCATGAGACCGGACATACCTTTGGAGCCGTCCATGACTGTGTACCGCAGACGTGTCCAGTCAAGGGCCCCTCTCAGGCCTGCTGTCCGCTGAGCAAAGACCAGTGCGATGCTGGTGGCAAATACATCATGAATCCTTCTACCGGCAGTGGTATAACGTCCTTCTCACCCTGCAGCATCGGCAACATTTGCTCAGGCCTCAAATCCAACCAGATCAAGGGCAACTGCCTCACGGACAACAAGAATGTCCAGACCGATGTGGACATTGGCAGTCAATGTGGCAATGGTATCGTGGAGGCCGGTGAGGACTGCGACTGCGGCGGCGAGGCAGGTTGCAATGGAAACAAGTGCTGCGATCCCAAAACGTGCAAGTTCACCAGCGGCTCCGTCTGTGATGCCTCCAACGAAGACTGCTGCACGGATCAATGCCAGTTTGCATCGACCGGCACCGTCTGCCGCCCCAGCACCGGCGACTGCGACGTTGAGGAATCCTGTCCCGGCGACAAGGCCGCCTGCCCGGCCGACAAGCACAAGAACAACGGCGACTCGTGCGGCAATGGGCTCCAATGCGCGTCAGGGCAGTGTACCTCGCGCGACCTGCAGTGCCAGCACATGGCCAACAGCTTGACGGGCAGAAACAACACCAAGGCTTGTCCCGAGACGGAGTGCATGCTCGCCTGTACGTCGCCCGACCTCCCCTCCAACCAGTGCATCACGTACAACCAGTTCTTCGTGGACGGGACCAGCTGCGGCGCCGGCGGCCACTGCTCCAGCGGCAGCTGTCAGGGCAGTTCGACGATCAAGGAAATCGGACAATGGATCGACAACCACAAGGCAATCTTCATCCCCATCGTCTCGGTCGTCGGACTCCTCATCATCATTGCCATCATTAGCTGCATCACGGGCAGCATCCGACGCCGCATGCACAAACGGAGGGTGAGAAAGCAGGCGGTGCCCGGGATGAACAGCAGCTGGCCGCCTTCGTCGTTCAGCGGACAGCAGCAATGGGGCGGTCCGAGGCCGTGGAACGGACCGCGACAGACCGAGTCGTCCGGCGCTCTGTTTTCCCCCGAGCAGCAGCATCAACAGCAGCAGAGTGGGTTTTACGATCCGCCGCCGGCGGCAAACGCAGACGGAAGGTGGGGGAACCAGCGGAGCATGCGGTACATGTAACAAGGTCAGAGTTGGATATATATACATATCATGCATTACTTGGCGTTTTGTTTTGGATAGGCATAGGACGGCACACGCGCGCGCGCGCGCGTGTATATATAAATAAATGGTTTCTTTTTGTACACTCAACAAAGACGTCCAGACACGTAGACACGGTCAGCACTTGAATCACCAGTCCACGTACCCGCACAGCCCAGCCATCATCTCCTCCTCTCCCGTTCCCTCTCCTTCTCACGCTCCCTATCCCTATCCCTATCCCTCTCCCTCCCCACCACCTCCTTGCTCTTCCGCCGCTCCTCAAACCCACACAGCATCGCGGTAAACCGCAACCTCTGCCCGGGAACGCTCTAAGAACCGTCAGCCAAACACCTCGGCCGTCAAGACGCTCATTGGGGGTGGGGGGCACATACATCGCCCGCACTCAGGGCATACATCATCAGCGACTCGGGGCTATCCAGCACGCTCAGCGCAAAGCCCCGCCGCTCCTTGTCCTCGAACGGCTCCGTCTTGACCCTGCGCTCGTTAGCACTCCCGCCTTGCCCAAACCACAGAGACCGTCAGAGGCGCGACGCACCCCCTGCCCAGACGCACCCGCCTCTCCGGCTCGTCGTCGTAGTCGCTCTCGCTGTCCTTGTAGGGGTCCTTGCCGCGCGCTTGGCGGTCGCGCATCTCGGGGGTGCATTCTGCTGCTGCTCCTGCTGCTGTGCGCGACCCGGATCCCGTCGGGGTGTGGTACGTGCTCCGCGAGGGAGTGGCGGTTGACATGTTCCGGGCCGGCTGCTGCTGGGGTATTCGACGGCGATGATGGGGGGGAGAAAACCCTGCTGGGGTGTGAACCAGGTGTTGGTGACGGTGGTGGTGGTGGTGGTGACAAGGTTGGGGCGCTGATTATACAGCCGTCATTGGGTTGGGTCGGCTGTGCGGTAATATTCGCGTCGCAGATTATGAGTAAGGAGGGATGGGAATCAGGTTCGTGATAAAAGTGAGGTTGAAGATGTAATGAGGAACCCCCAAGTCTAAGTAGGTCAAAGTGTAGTTGGGGTGGTCGGAGGATTCAAAGTGGCGGACCAATCTGATAGATGGATGCCCCGCCACCGCCGGCCCGCCACTCATTCTTTCTCTGTGCATTGCAAATCTCTGTTCGACACATACATGCACATCAATGACGCGCCTACGTACGCAATGTCATATCCAATTCTCGCCAACCACCCATGGTATAATACACTCCTCGGTCGCTTCCTGCGCCGCGGCTAGCAAAAAAAGTAAAAAGAAAAAAGAAAAAAGAAAAAAAAAAAAAAAGAAAAAAAAAAAAAAAGAACCACCACATACAACACGTGTCAAAACGCGAAGGTAAATGCACGCCATCCTCCCATCGAGTGAATGCTGCCAGATCCGCCTACGCCCCGGGTCTTGTCAATATTCCAAAACAAAGAAGCCGACACACGCATACGCCGTCCTCTATTCCATCGTTTTCATCATCAGATATACTCGATGTTTCCCCCTCCACCCAATGTTCTTCGTCTTCGTCTTCTTCTTTCAGCCTTGTGTCCCATTGTAAAGCCAACAACTCATATACAAAAGGAATATTTTTCTGCCACTTGTGTTGGCATGTGTAGTTCGCAAAAAGTGTCGGCGCCGCGCCAGCCAAGTAAAAAAGAAGAAGAAAAAAGATCTTGCGGAAAAAAAAATGCCGAGACTTCAAGTAGAACATCAAAGGCCAGCTCTCCCGTATGCTCGTTTTGGGGCGCTTGCGAGTTCTAGTTGTTCTTGTATCCAGACGCCGTCAACCCCTTTTGGCGTGCCATCGCTCGCGTCGTGATCAATATATACTTCGTACACCCTGCCGCATTGTTGCTCGGATATCGGGGCCCTCCACTCTCAGAGCCTGCTAGATGTGTCGTCGCATGAAGTTGGTTTCGATTAGAACAATGTGTAGGCTACCTTCTAAAGTTTATTACGGCAAGCTACACAGCAATGTTAGGATGATGCTCGTGGGCATAAAGTTAATAATACCTTGCAGGAAATACGTACTCTACTGTTCGAACCATACGCCAGCTTTTGTCCGCTGACATCCCAGCACAGGCAGTGCTCATCTTCCTCTTCAGTGTCCGAGTTACCTTTCGGGCTGAGCCATCCTGGATGTGGCGGTCGGTTCCAGCTTGCCCTCGGCATCGTATGATTATCCACCTTCCATATTAATACTTGCCGCGATGAGGCGCCGGCGATAAAGGCGCCGTCGGGGGTAAAGGCAAGCCGTACGATTGGCAAGTCCATCGTCAGGAAACATTTCGCTTTGCTCTCAGGTTTCCGGGCATTCCATATTAGAATGGCACAATCGTCACCACCAGTAGCGATTAGTCGCTCGTCGTCGTGGGGGGCTTGATTAGGTGGCAAAGGCTGCCACGCCATGGTGGTGATGGCTCCTTGATGAGCTGAAATAGATCGCCGTTGCCCTGACTCATCCCATAGCTATCATTGTGTCATTATCAGCATCCGCATAACCCGCGTTTCTCAGGGGAAAGCATCACTTACATCAAGAATACCCTTGTCACTCGAAGTGGCAGCCAATTTTGACCGCCGGTCAAAAAGCACCTGGGTAAAACTATCATCCTCCGTGGTTTCGAATTTCCGTGACTGAATAATTGCTGAATTGGTGCAACGAAGGCATAGCAGTAAATCGCCGCCGCTCAACAAAAACTCCTCGTCGTCGATCCAGGCTGCGTCCAGCGCGGTCGTTTCTATGTCGTGTCCTGGTAAATGATAGTTCAAGATTTTGCCATTAAATGAATAAACCGTAATGAGGGCGCCTCCTCCTTTTTCTGGGGAAAGGGAGAGCAGGGCAGAGCTGCCTGGGTTCCAGCTGAGCTTTATAATGGGCGGCTCAGCCACATCCATGGTCTGCATGAGAACACCGTCGGCTGACCACACGCTCACTGCAGCCGACGTCTCCAAATCGGTGGCAACCGCAATGGCAGTGCCGTTGGGCGTCCATGACAATGCCGTGACGGTTGTTGTGCGCGGCATAGCTGGATCGATTAGAGCGCTGGCCAGGGGAGCCACGTGATCTCTGCCATCCTTGGCCGACTCGGTCGTTGCGTCCGAGGAGCGACAGATGGTCCAAACACGGGCTAGTGCATCGGTTCCAGCAGCAGCCAACATTGATGGGTCGCAAGGGTTCCACTCGCACTGGAGCAACACGGGCGCAATCTCGGCGCCTACTGGAGAGGGCGATGGCGTAGCTGTGGCTTCCGAGGCCTTGAGCGAAGAGTCCACGAGGTGGATAAAAGTGGTGTCTGGCGATAATTCCTCTACCTTGTCGACCTGCGTGCCCTGCTCGGGGCCATCGGTATGGATGATGGGCGGAGGCAGCTGCTCCCCTTCCAACGGCGACGGATAGGCGTGGTTGTTGCTGGCGTCGTGTTGGCCGTCATGAGAGTTGGGTTGAGGGTGAGGGTGATGGTGATGGCTGGGATCAATGTCCATGGGTGTGGTGGCGGAGGTTGAGGTGGTGTTGGTGGTTGTGGATGTGGTGGTGGCAGCCGTGGCCACGGGTGCGGATGCGGATGCGGATGCGTCAGTGTAGCCATTGCTCAGACGCGGTTTCTTTGCCGGCGAGCCATTCGGTAGCTGGAGCTGTTGTTGGATGCGCTTCCGTGATAATTCTACGTCGCCGCCGACTGCAGCGCCCTCGCCCTCGGCCAGCTGCTGCGAGTTCAATGGTCCAAAGACGCCGACCTGCAGCGACTCTGCCTCTGCCTCGGCCCCGGCACTGGCGGCATCGCGAGACCGCTGCGATGAGAATGTCTAGTCAGCCAAAATACAATCTCAACAAGGTCGGGTCTTGCGTTTGCCTGCTTGCCTGCTTGCTTCGACTGTGCGAGGCAGCCTAAAGCAGACAAGGCTCGACGAGGGGACATGAGGAGCCTGCACGTCCACCCCCGAACGGCCCAGGCAAGAGACAAAAGGAGAAGCCATGCATTCGGGTGAGACGTCGTAGCAGTCCCGACAAAGCAGACCACAGGCAGACGGGAGAGAAAAGGGAAAGAAAAGTAAAGGGACTTACCTTGTTGAGTGCAAATTCACGTTCAAGAGCATAGTACATTAATCCTCGGTTGATGAGCGACACAAGTGCCTGGCTCTTGACGTGAGGCGCGAAGGAGAAATCTCGGTGTGGCTCGTTTACCTGCCACTCCTTTTGCAACTTGGCGGCGGTTTCGCGGTAATCTGCAATCAAAAAGAACAAGTTCAGTTAGATACGGTCTTCCGCTATGAAAAATGCCCAGAGCCTGCGCATGTCGTTGTATTTGCAAAGGTGCAAAAAGAGCTGGTGCCACGTACTCGCTTCCAGCAGATACCTGCACAACATATTAAAGTTAGCAAAGACAAAAAGGAACCGGCAAACCACTGGGGAAGGCGCCGGGGGGACGGAGTCTCTCAACGTCAGTGCTGGCAGGAGAACAGAGCAGCAATAACGGTAGGCGGGTTTAAAAAAAAAAAGAGGGCGAAGCGCGTCGGCGAGACGGTTCTCAATGCTGCAGCAGGACGAGTCGAGAGAGTCCGAGAAAAGTCACCGGGGACATCCGGAACGAACCTCCAGACCAGAAAGTTGACCCTATTCGAGTCGATAAATTCCTTGTCCACCATGGTTGCCAAGCGCGCGCCGCAACTGGCGGCAAAGTGACGGGTGGCCGGGTAGTCCTCCTAGAGGCAGAATATAGTCGTGGAGTGCAGGCTTAGTACTTGTTGATGTGAGGAATGTCGTCGAGCAGCCGCCGGGGCAAGGGCGACACACGAGAAGTCGTTGACCGGGCAGATAGAAGCAAAAGTGAGAGTCAAAGTGAGGGAATGAGTGAGTGAAGATTTGAGAGCGAGATGAAATCCACATCTCTGGTGCTGGAGCTGGGCCAGGTTGAGTGGCTCTGGGGCAAGGTACTCCGTACTGGCAGCGCTATGGAGAGAGCACCAAGCATCGAGGTACCCGGGTACCTTGCTCGGGTCCTCAATTGTGGTGTCCATGTCTGGGCTTTGTTCACGTACCTGGGTACCTGAGTACCTGGGTACCTTACCTGTCCTGGGCAGCCTTCCACTTCCAGCACCTTCAACCCCAACTGGTCGCGGACGCCAGACAGCAACGAGCAACGAACCGCCAGTAACAACGGGGTATGGAGTCTGGTACGTACATACCTCGACGTCCCTCCATATGTCCGCCCACCTGCAGCCTCAAGCTGGCAACCAGACATGTTTGCCGAGAGCCCGCACCCGCCAGCCAAGCGAAAGTGCGCTGCTTTGTCTGCATCACATCTGCGTCAACTGTCAACTACATACTGCCTTCTCGTGACTGTCTGCCCAGTGCCAATGCCGATCGAGTCCCTGGCGTCTTGACTGGCGCTCAACTGTTGTTTGCGGGCCCCCTTACCGACTACCAGCCAGCCCAGCCCAGCCGGCAAGGCAAGGCAAGGCGAGGCGAGGCAAGGCGAGACTGGCACACACTGACAAACTTGGCGCCCACCAGGCTTATAGAACCATTGAGCCAATGTCCTGTCTGTCTTGTCACTCCCGCCTGGATGAGCAAGGGTGTGCGTGTGTGCGTGTGTTCGTGCATGTGGGTAAACATGGGTTAATGGATAGAGCATTGCCATGGGGGGGGTGGGGGGCGTGTTCTCAAAGTCTCGCAGATTCAGAAGCTTAAATGTGGGTTTTGCTCTCTGGCTTGATATTCGTATCGTCAACGACTTTGCGCATCTGTCCTCTGTTCTTTTGTCCTCTTTGCCTGCAGCTTGCACCAAACTCAGCTTGGGCCCTGCTGCCCCCTTCGCCCATTGTCACGCGGAAGCAACACCGCTCTGGCCGCTATTCCTTGACAATGGAGACATTTTCGATAGGGACACCGCCTTGTCCAGGATCCAAGAGCATTTGCCTTTCCCCTGGCCGCTTCGTTTCGTTTCGGACATCGTCACAGCCCCGTCTACAAAATACGCTTCAACATCTTCTCACCTTGGTGACAAAGGGTGTTTCTACAGCAGATGGGAAAAGGCCCTTCGGCTTAAACCGTCCCTGCATTCTCCTTCTTTTCTAGACGGGGATTCCGTGTGACAAGGACACACAGGGCGGGTGGGTCCTATTCGACATGGTCTTCAAAATGATGGGATACGGCGTGCCTACAATTGAGGGCCCAAGACCATCAACAACCATGGGAGCGAAACGCGAGGCTTCTGATTTTCCCCAGCATGTTCGACCGTTCTCATCACTGTCTGTTTCCTCATTGCTCGTGGTTGTACACTGACCTGTTCCTGGTGGGACACATCGGTGCATGACTGGGTGACTCGTTGCAAACGCAACCACCAAACGCGGATCTTGTGCGGATGCGCTGCCGTCAGCCATCGTCACTCGTGGCTTTGCCCGCTTCAGTGTTACGGAGTAATCAGAAACAAGCCTGCCTGCATAGGGCCTGGGGCTGAAGGGTGACGGGCCCTCGATTGATGTGAAGTGGAAACACCTAGTTCCAGGGTCTCTCGGTCTCCCGTTGTGAGTGGCGCCAGATGCAGCAACATGCCGCCCAGCATTGGCCGATTGAAAGCTGATCAATTTTTGTCAACATCATAGCCACAGGGGAACCAGAGCCCAGTCATACACACCCTGGCTGCGCAAGCCTTGGGACGTCGATTTTGAAGGGCGTCTATCATTGATAACTAAGCAGCCGTTGCCTTTGGCCAAACTTGCAACTCCCGCCTCGTCAGTCTACTATTCGTGGCAGGTGGCGTCGTCCAAGTTTGTTGCTCTAGGACTGAAGCGATTCTCCAGGGCCACAGTGGTGGGTGGCGGCAAAGGACCTGGGACGCAGAGGCCTAACCGTAAATAATCTTGCGACCGGACCACGGGAAACCTAGATTGCCACCCGGCATTCATCCCATCATTGAGACGACATACTAGCTAACCTCGGGGAACGGGGGCTGGCGGGAACCCTGGACAGTCGTCGTCATGGAGAGGCCGTTCTCCTGCCCCGGAAAGGTCTAGTCGCTGGTCAACTTTCGCAGTTTCTATATCTGATCGAGCTCTTAGCTTCACGGGGGTTGATTTGAGACGCGTCTACGATGCGCTTCGGGCACGATGATGAGGATAAGGGCGTTTGCTGCACCTCTCACCCTCGCTCGCATGCTCGTGCTCAAAACTTTTGTTGGAGGCCGGGCCCATGTTCCTCTGGAATCTGAGACGGCGCAGATCGCCTGGTACAATGCTTGTGGCTGTTGCCAAAAGGGCCAAGGGCACTCAATGCAGCTTTGGCCAATGGCGGGACCGAGAAACTTGCCCCATCGTGCCTGCCTTGCATTTGCATTGTAGTACTACTCCGTAGTGAAGCAACTTTCTACAAACCACAAATGCCCGCCGTCGCAGTCCACAAATGGCTTTCCCACAGTCAGGGGCAATTCGAGAAACGGCTTCGCAGCAATGTAACAACATCCTAATAGCATTGTTCCAGTGTCAGTCATTTTAGCGGCTCTTCAGGGGCCGTTTGTTTCCTCAGGAATGCACACCAACCATGGTCAGTCTTCGCTCCACATGGCTCTCAATGACAAACCTTGCACACAGATCATGCCTGCCCAGACCCTTCACTCAAATTGGATGGGAGTTGCGTGACACTTAACAGGGATTGCAAGGACATGACTGATTTGTGCGGAAATTTCGGCGCGTGAGAGAGAAGAATTGTAAATTTTTCTTCCTAAAGAGTGCCACCTTTCCACCACATCCCGGCCGGAACAGCGTCGACTTTTTAACTGGGCACCCGTCAATAATCAACATCACTTTACTCCGCGAAGACACATTCAACGAAAGACGGGGGGTCTGATGCTGCGAACCACTGTGCCTCGTCGACCCCTGTCCGCGAAGACAAGCTTCTTGACGAGAAACTCGAGTATGGTTGGGAATTGAACACAACCGCATCCACGCCTCACCTTGAACCGCAAACAGAGACGGACGTTTCCGCTCTCCACTCCACCGCATCTATCTATTTTAAGCACGCAGCATCATGCTCTACATGTCCCGGCATGCACGTCGACGAAACCAGGCATAGTCTAAGATCTAGTCCATGAAGCAAGTTCAAATATGCCAGACGCTTGTATACCGCAAGTTCATTCATGCAAACGATAACGTAAACCCAGCTTCAAACAAGACTCGAATATCCTGGGCTGTGGCACCAGCCTAGAATATAGGCGCACATAATTCACGGGGCTGTATATACACTTTTCGATTCCATAGGCTCACTGTCTCGCCCCCCTCCCCCCTGGTGCCATAGTTCTTGAACGTAAGCCTTCAAAGGCTGCTGATACTGTCCTGAAAACAGAGGTCGATGGCGGCACATCCCGTATATAAATGCTCCCACTGGCTGTATTCACATCTTCAGGTTCGGCATTTTCAGATTCTTCTGGTGAGCCATGCTGGGAAAGCCACTTCTTTCGTGCCCATGGAAGGAAATTGTAGTAGCCTCCACACGCAAAGACCCCGAGCCACAGTGCAAGTTCTGTTCCATATATCACCATGCCCAAAACGTCCAGCTTGGGCTGGAAGAAGACGGATATCAAGGAGAACAAATCTCCGGCGGCGTCGATTCCGACAAACAGAAACGATATCCCTCGGACAGTGCGATGAACCCAGATGTCCCAGTAATGGCTCAGCACACCTGCGGCAAGCAGACTAGCGGACAGCACAGCCATGACCGTCATTGGCCAGTCAACACCTCGGTGTTTGAGAATTCCAAGGCCAACTATGAGGGCAGCTTGACAGCCGCCCATGATGACCACAATCGGCGCCAGGGTAAGCATTGATCGCGAAACAGTCCATCCCTAGCCAGGGTTAGCCCTTTTCGTCTCATTAATGGCAGTGTGTGCGTTTCGAGACATGTACCCTCTGGTAGTAGCAGCATTGAATCCATGTTACCAAGCTAAGAAACGTGAGAACTTGAGGCTGTATACGCAGTGCAACGTTGAACTCCTCGACAATGTTGTATACTCCAAGAGGGACTCCCGCCCAGGCCCACAGCATCATCATCGATGACTGAAGACCAGTTGCATTGTGTCGTCGGTGGTTGACCACGATTTGGGGTATAAGCTATGATTGGTCTCAGCCTTAACCGGATGAGGCGGATTCGACCATGGAACGCACCTGAATAAACCAACAAATCTGCACAAGGTGCTGTTAATGGTGACTCGTGCGCCACAATTTGACCATGTTTACGAGGAATAACTCACAGCTCCAAGTGTGCCAAGCACGTTAGCCACAACAGGAACGTCCATCCCTTAGGTAACATATAGAGGATCAATGGAATATGGTAACATTATATTTACATTGAGAGGTTCTTCATTAAATACTGTGACGGTGATGGCGCCATGATCCGGTACGAATTTGCCCGCAACGCAACCTGATGTCGTGAGTGGATCTCGGATTCCGAGCCTTTCCAAGATCCAGCCACACCCACTGAATTACGGGCCTGGGCGTATCCAGAGTAAAAGGGGAGAAAAGAGGCAAAAAGAAAGAAAAAATAGAGATTTGAGCAAATAGCCTCATCGTTGCAAACATGTATCACGAATATCGATCTCGTTTCTCGATATAGTCAACTCAAGCAGCCACGATTCCCTTTCAGCCTGAGGCCAGAACGCGCCACCAGCCACATCACACCCAACACAATAAGGCACGTGTCATCCTCCTCAAGCCTCTTGCGGCATTGCATCCAACACCACGAGAGCTCAAGAAATCTGGTTCCCAACCAGCTCAGCCAGGCCACAATCCCAACTTTACTCCCAGCCAGTACCTAGCTCAGAGCACGCCCCAACGCGACGACCACATCTCTCCAACGCAGTACCTCCTTCTCATGAATATATAAAGAGAACAAGGGACCTCCTCCCATCCCGCCTCTAAAACAACCCCCCCCCCGCC